TCCTTAAGGTCCAGGTAAAAAGAACTTTGCCTCAGTTGAGATACAGCTCAAAAGCGTGTTTGGATTTGGGACCACAGGGTGTAAAGTGACAGTTGCTGAGTTGACTGCAACTGAGGTAGTCTGTCAAGATGCTTTTGGATCCCAATTTGGGCCTTGCGAGGAATGTAGTATTGCCTCTGACTAACAGAAATAACTCCTGTATTTAATTCTACTACCACCGGAGGTATGTTGCGAACCAGTCCAGTGGAGGTGGGGGTGTTGTCCTCAGCCCACATTCCTGGAATCTTAAAGAGAGTCTCTTTCTTAGAGACATGGAGTCACCATTCCTCCTCCTGCACAACCGTGAGAGTTAGAATATTGGCCTCAGCTCAGAGTCTCTCAGTTTTAAGGCTACCATGCTGTCAGAGGCAAAAGCTATCTGTGCCTTTAGTTTGCACAAGTCTTCCCAGGAAGGCCACAGGGCAATCAGAAAGATAGAGAAAACTTATGCCTTAGTTCATGCTTTTCAAGATTGCATTTTCTGGATATGAAGAAGGGATGGTGAGTCTGGTCTCTCATGTCCCTGACAATGGTTGCATGTCTCTGTGAGAGAAGGCCCATGGGTTGGGTTACAACTGAATGGGTTGAGCCAATGTCCATCAGTAGGTCAACTGGATGGACCCCTACATTCATTTGGACCATAGGCCCCTGGGGGCCCAGTAGAATGGAGCCCCATCTGTCCTAGTTCTCCTCATAATCCTCAAAAGTGGCCAGGCCTATGAAGTCTTCCTCCCAGGGGCTGCTTCTTCCCTGAGCAGGCTGATACTTTCCTTCAGCAACTTAGCCTCTGCCTCTGGTCTTGGGGGCCTTCTGGGGGGGTCTCTGGGCTGTTGGGGACATTCATTTTTCCAGTGTCCTTGCTGACAACAGTAGGCACACTGGTTTTACCTTAGTTCCTCTCCAGGGTGAGGCTGTTCTGGAGATGCTGACCACTGTCCATGGGGATTGTCTCTTCCTCTGCCATGTCCTGCATGCTGGGGCCTGCCCGACTGTTCAGCTGGAGCCACAGCAAGGAGGTCCACTTTCCTTTTCATTTCTCCATTAGCCTCCCATTTGGCCTCCTGATCTCTATTGACAAAGATTTTTGTGGCCACCTCCAGAAGCTGGCTAGTGTTCACACCAGCAAACCCCTCAGGCTTTTGAAATTTTCACCTATGTTCCACTGTGCCTGGCTGAAAAATGCTTCATTAATTGTCTTCTGGTTTTCAGCCACCTCTGGATTGAAAGGGGTATACAGGTGGAAGGCTTCACATAGCCACTCACAAAATTGGCTGGGGCTCTCATCTGGCACTTGGAGGTCTTCTATTGTCGACTCATGTTCAAGGCCTTTTTCCTTCCTTCCTTCATGCCTCCTGACACTGTTCAAGCCACTGGTAATCTTGATAATCATTAGGGTCCCAACGGGAGTCCTCCTCAGAGAGCTGGCCCCAAGCATAGGCTTGGGCATTTACAGTGTCTGCAGGAACATGATCTTCCAGCCACTTTAGAGCTGCCAAGGTTATACAGCATCACATCTCAGTATTAAACAGAGTCAGAAGCAGCTGTTGGCAGTCTATCAGGGTGTGCTTATGAGTTTAGATGATGGACTACATTAGATCAGTCAGAGCCTGAGGCTTTTCTGTGAAGGAGGGGGTACACTGGCACATAAAGGGGCAGGGCCTCCTTGGGGTCCTCCTCTAATATGGGTTTCTCTGGGTTTTTACATTTTTCCCTATGCTTGGAAGCTGCTGCCACCCTGGCTACCATAATCCTACATGATTTCTCTAGGTGGAGCTTTAGCCACATGGGCCGACTGAAGACTGCATCCTGCCAGAAGACAATATAAGGAACCATCTGTGTGTCCAGGCTTCCCTACAACCACTTCAAAAACTATTGACTATGACCTTATCTAATGACCCCTCCAAAGGCCATCCTACACCAAAAGCAGGCCAGTCTATTTCACAGAAGGTCCTAAGCCTGTCAGGAGTTAGCTTGACTCTGTAATCTCTATTAAATCCCTTTTTAAAGTTCTTAAGCCTGCACTTTAGGGGGTTGTTCTTACTCTGTCCTCCTCCTATTCCTCACATTACCAAATGTCAAGACAGAGACAGAAACGGAAGGGATGAGGGTTGTGGAGAGGAAGTAAGGAATCCACCGCTCTGGCACACAGGGGAAAACAAATAACACCACTTGCTTTGTCCATCTCTGGCCACTCTCCTCATGGGTATTTAGGCTTCTCTTCACTGTAGTGAGTTTGTATAAGCCCTGGACCAGTGGCCCTGTTAAAGCTCACCCTGGACCATATGAGTTTGCCACAGACCTGTGGATCAGGACTCCACATTCGCTTTGCAGCTGGGCTGGATCTCAGGCTTGCACTTTCACACACTCTTTCACACAGCACGGCCTTCCACCCTGCTCCCTGAACTTGAGAGATATGGTTTCACCCCAAAAGGTGGTTACTGGGGTGTCTTGCTGGGTCTCTGCTTCCTGAGGCAGGCCTGAATTCATACCTGGGTTCTTACCAGTCTGATGAATGGGGCTCCCAAGTTGGTTCCTTTATGTGACCGAAACTGGCCTCCTCAGTTCACTGGGAGAGGGCTCTCTCCTCCCAGATCAACACTTCCCATTGCACCTGGCAGGGGCGGCCCTCCTGGTGAGCCGGGGATCTGAGCCAGGGACAAGGAGGTGAAAACACTGACCCCCAAATCCCAGATGAGCCCCAAGGAATGTTGTGGGACTGCTCAGATAGACAGATGGGGCACCAAAGCTTTCGGGAAGCAAGTTTATTAAGCAGACCAGCAGCAACTCTCGAATCCAAAGGCTGAGCCCTAAGAAAAATGGGGGCTTTCCTAATATACCATTTACAGCAGGTTACAGAAATGGGGGGTACATCTTGTCCCATACATGGTCACATATTATTTCATTGACAATTTTAACCTCTGGGGTGAGGTGAGCCTTCTCTTCTGGTCTTGCCCCAGGTGCTACTTGACATTCCTTAAATCCATTTTTATTTTGTTTTGTTTCACTGTTGTGCTCATTACCTCTCATTATATCCCTTTCCCCTCCCTGTCTTCCTGCTACATGCAGGTGTCTTTATTGTAACCTGACTCACATTCCTTCAGGTATATCCCTAGGAGTGGTATTGCTGGATCATATGGCAGTTCTATTTTTAGTTTTTTTGAGGAGCCTCCATACTGTTTTCATAGTGGTGGTATTAATTTATAACCCAACAACAGTGTATGAGAGTTCCTTTCCCCCCACATTCTAGCCAACATTTGTTGTTGTTTGTATTCTTGACGATGGGCATTCTAACAGGAGTAAGGTGGACTCCTAATATGGTTTTTAACTTACATTTCCTTTACAGCCAGGGATGTTGAGCATTTTGTCTTATGTTTTTTGGCTATTTGGTCTTATTCCTTTGAAAAAGTTCTGTTCAGTTAATTTGTCCATTTCTTCATTGGGTCATTGATTTGGGGGGAGTGTAGTTTTTTGAGCTTCCTGTATATTCTGGTTATTAATTCCTTGTCAGGTTGTACAGATGGAAAAAGATTTTCTCCCATTCTGTGGGCCATTCAATCTGGTGACCATTTCTTTTGTTGTGTGGAAGCTTTTTAGTTTCATGTAGCTCCATTTGTAGTTTCATGGAGTCTTTTAGTTGCTGAGCCATTTGAGTGCTATTTAGGAAGTTATTGCCTTTGCCTATTAGTTTCAGTGTACTCCTGCTCTTTCCTGCACTACTTCAAAGTTTCAGGTCTTATATCCTTAAATCCTTAATCCACTTTGAGTTACTACTTGTACAGGGGGAAAGACATGAATCTAGTTTCAGTTTTCTGTGTGCAGATATCCAGTTTTTGTTGAAGAGGCTGTCTTTTCACCATAGTATGTTTTGGGTGCCTCTGTAAAAAAATCAGGTGGTCATAGTAGCATGGTTTCATGTCTGGTTCTTCTATTCTGTTCCACTGGTCTGAATGTCTGTTTTTGTGTTTGATGATATCCTGTTACCTGCTTTTGCTCCTGTACCAATATTCCAGAAAGCAGCATTGGTAGGAAGAAATCAGATGTATTCAAGAGGAGGCAATCTTGAGAAGACAGAATTTTTTTTGTTTGTTTTTGTTTTTTGTCTCAAAGCTGTAACATGGGGGGGGGTCTTAGGAACAGAAAGGGCTTTATGTAGAAGGAAAAGTAATTATAGTGAGCAGGAAATTTACCCAGGTGAAGTCTTTGTCATCCTGGGTTCTTTTTCTTCTCTGGCTGGAGCATCTCAATGTGGCTAGTTCAATCTCCTGTAGCTAGTTAACTAATGAGAAGGAAAGGCTTCTCTTCAGCAAAATATGTTAGGGAGGAGCAGAAGGGCAGAGGGTTGGTGATGGGGAAATAAAGGCCAGTTTCAAAGGAGCCCCTGCTATATTTCTTTCTGTGAGTCTGGGTGGCATAGTCTAAAATGCAGCACCCTGCTTTCAGATCTTGCAGAGTAAGCTCTGGACTAAGACAGAAAGCATCTTTTCAGGGAAGTCTGTCTTAAAAGGACCTCTGCGCTCAGTGAGGAGTCCCCTGACTGCTACCTAACACACTTGGGACTGTTTACTGAAGTCTATTCCAGGATCTTTGTGCTTACAGTCATTTATGATTTTAAGCCACAAACCAGATGATTCAGGCATCCCTCCCTTGCAACTCTCACCTACTATCTGCCCCTTACAGTACTTGTTGGATAAATGTATGTACGAATGAATGGAAGAAGGGAGAAGAACGTAAAGGATAAATTTAGAAGCCACAAGGACTACTGGAGACATATAAATTCTCATGAATTGCCCATTTTATTGGGAGGTAGTCGTACAGAAATCAAGAAGGAAGAATTCCAAGATGCAGCTTGAGCGCTCAGCGGCTTCTGTCGGGCGGGAAAGCCTGGGCAGAATCGTGAGAACGCCGTCGAAGCCCACGGAGAACACCTCCAGCTACCACTTCTCCGCGGCCGCCTGGAGGCTTTATTTGCATGGCCAGGTAGGGGCCTGCTTCTGCTGGGTCTGGTGGCAGATAGGGACGCCCTTGCCACCCCCAGAGCCGCCCCCGGAGGAGCCGCCGCCGCCCCCGGAGGAGCCGCCGCCGCAGATGGGACCGGGGCCGCCGCCGCCTCCGCCGCCGCAGATGGGGCCGGAGCCGCCGCCGCCTCCGCCTCCGCCGCCGCAGATGGGGCCGGAGCCGCCGCCGCCTCCGCCTCCGCCGCCGCAGATGATGGGGCCGCCGCCGCCCCCGGAGGAGCCGCCGCCGCAGCTGCCGCCGCCGCCGGAAGATCCCCCTCCGTAGCTCTGCTGCGGGGCGCACGAGGTCTGGGTGGTCTGCTGCGAAGAGTAGTAGCCGGAGCCGCCGCCGCCGCCGCCGCCGCCGCCGGAGGAGCCCCCACCGCAGCTGGAGCCGCCGCCGGAGTAGCCGCCGCCCCCGGAGTAGCAGCCGCCGCCTCCGGAGGAGCCCCCACCGCAGCTGGAGCCGCCGCCGGAGTAGCAGCCGTCGCCTCCGGAGTAGCAGCCGCCGCCTCCGGAGGAGCCCCCACCGCAGCTGGAGCCGCCCCCGGAGTAGCAGCCGCCGCCTCCGGAGGAGCCGCCGCCACCGGAGTACTTGATATCCCCTCCGGAGCCCCCGCCGCAGCTGGACCCGCCGCCGCCTGAGTAGCCGCCGCCTGAGTAGCCGCCGCCGCAGCTGGAGCCACCTCCGCAGCTGGAGCCACCTCCGCCGCTGGAGCCACCTCCGCCTCCGGAGTACTTGATGCCGCCGCCGCCGCCGCCGCAGCCGCCGCTTCCGCCGCCGCAGCTGGAACCGCCCCCGGAGGAGCCACCTCCGCAACTGGACCCGCCACCGCCGCTATAGAAGCCGCAGCCGCCGCCGCCGCCGCCGCCGCCGCCGCCGCCGCCGCCGCCGCCGCCGCCAGAGGTCTTTCCGCAACCCGGTGGGGGACATGGGGTGGGCTGCTTTTTCTGGTGAGACATCGTCTAAGGAAGAAGGGGGCCCTGGAAGAAGAGCAGAAGAGCATTACTGGACCAGCGGCAAAAGGATGCCAAGGATACAGCTGCATCCATGGCAACATCCTCCATGCTCCTAGCAGTTGTCTATGCCAGGCAGTTATCTGTACAGGTGCTGGGAGAGCTCATCGGAGACTCTCAGGGTTGCTACTTTTGGAAAAATTGATCCCTCCCACTGAAAGCCCTTGCCGAATTTTAAATACCCTAGTTAGTGGTGGCTGTCCTCTCCCAGCTCTGCCTGGAAGAGATAACCCATGCTGCCATTTTCTCTGTCATGTTCTGTAAAATAAGGTGGATTGAACACTTCATCTTACAGATCTCTTCCAATCCCAACACTTATTTTCCACATTCAAATAGAAAATTGCCATAAATCTCTATGGAGGCTGGGTGAATTTACCCATTCCCAACATGACAGAAGAAGGTTTGTTGGAATATCAGAGAACTGTTTGCAGTCCGTTCTCTGCAAAAGCCCTTAGTTCAAACTCTTGACTGTCTGCCCCACCTTCCTGAGTGAGGCCATTTAGAAAACGCAGGCTCTGTCATGGTCCTGTCTGGAAAGGGGAAAGGACCCTGATGGTCCTTTGGGCCAGCATCTCAGACCAAAAGCTGTCAGACATGTCTTTCATGACATGCTGAAGTCCATGCTTGGTAGAGGGAACTGAAACTAGGAGGAAGTTATATCTCAGTATCTCACAAGTCATTTCCCTGTCAGAATATCTGCCTCTGTAAAACAGAATTTGGGTTTCTGTGGCCCCTAAAATCCCTCTCATCTGCAACATTCTCTAAACCATTCTTCCTGCTCTCTGAGATGCCTAGTCTCTCCTCCTGACAGGTTCATGAGGCTCGTCAAGCCCATGCACAGACTGCCTTGTACAGTCACTGCAGAGCCCCATGGATGTGTGGGCCAGAGAGGCAAGACATAGTCTTTTCTTGGTGGAGTTTACATTCTAGCCAGAAGACCAGAAACACCACCTGTAGGACAGCAGTTTGGGCCCCTATCCCTTCCCTGAATCCCCTCTCAATATGAGTGCTGTAGGGAGGCAAAGGTCCTGTAGTTCCTGAAGGGGCGATGGGCCCTGTCCATTAACCTATGCAGCTCTGAGTAAGGCCAGCAAGGAAGACGGAGAGCTGCAGAACACACACTTACCCAAAGCACCAGGGAAGGTGAATGAGGAGAGGAGATGCTGGTGATGTGAGGAGCACTGGAGCTCCTGAGGTTTTATACTCTACCTGCACTGACTCATCTATTGATCAGGCCGTGTTTGGCCTTAGTTACGTGACCTGCAGCTGTTGGCCCCACCTCCCTGTGATTGCATCCACAGGGTGGACCATTCATGAAGATTTTGGCATTCTTGAGATAGGCAGCCTAGGATATGACTGGCCCCTTCTCTGATGCAACTGTGAGCAGGCCGGTCAGTTGTGATGGGGATGGCCAGCCAGAGTGGACGGCAGGCATAGTTTCTAAAACTTCTTGGCTTGGAGCACATGCCATAACCAGAGGGCTGTGCTTAAGCCAGACTCTTGAGGCAGACTAAAAGAGTCAAATTGGAGATCTCAGTCCTTGGTCCAAACAGCAGGACCTTCCAAATGCCCCTTTTTGACTTCTGATTTCATTATTCTGGAAACCCTAAAAACTTAAGAATCTGTCCCTTTTTTGGTAAAATTTCTCTACTGGGGTTTCATGAGTGCTTTACCAGGATGTTTCTGTCCTGTCCACTGGTTCATGAGGGTTCATGAGCTCTAGCTCCCAGTTCTGGACTATACATCATGGACAGTGCTAGAACTAATGTGACACTGGAGGAAACTTTGAATTGTCCCTGGAGATAGCAGACATTTAAGAAGGCCAGTTATCAATACTGACTTTCCTTGCAGAGGTGCAAACTATAGAGATGGACCATGTAGTCCTCCCACTATCCCTTTGGCTCCAGTGTCCTGTGGTGGTATGTCATAACACTGACCTCAGCCAAAGGGGCAGCCATGGAGTGGAATGGAATTGAGGTTGGTGACTGGATTTTGGTGCTTCTTTTACTGCTTGTCAGCTCTGTCACCTTGGGTAATGTCATAGCACTTTATGCCTGTATAGTTATTTGTTGACTATGGAATGATTAAGCTTTCTGAGCCTCAGTTACTTTGTCTGATGAATAGAAATACTAATACCTATTTCACAGGCACATGAAGAAGGAATAGTTATGCGAAGTATAGAAGGTCATATTGATGTTTTTGTCATTTCTCACATGATCGCACATCCTTACTTCCAATCTGGCCACTAAGGCCAGGCTGGACACTGGACACTAAGGCCAGGAAGGAGTCCACGGATGACTTGAGGAAAGGTCAACTCTTGTCTCCTAGGAGATTAACTCAAAACTTTCCTGATGACTCTGGACCAGCAGCATCACCTCTGTGTATGAAGAACTTGCTACCCCTTCTTTCATCACCGGAACTCAATTGGTATTGTATAAGATCCCACATTTGAACTTTGTTCCGCCCAGCTACATGTTGAAATAATAGCTCCAATAAGAAATTGACTGCTAATTATAGTGATTTAATGATCCAAATGATCCTGATTAGAGTATGGCTTTTGGAAACTTGTGGCTCTAGTTTTAGTTTGCACAGCATGAACACAGATGAACCTAGGAGGAGCTTGGGTGTACCTTTCCTTAGAGAATACTCAGGAGGGAGAAACTGAGATCTGTTGAAGAAGGCAGATTTCTCAGCTTGAACTGAGGCACTGTGGAAATTTTGGAGGGAAACAAACCATAGATAGTGATTACCATGAGTATAAAAAGGAAACATTTTATTTCGTTAATCAGGGGAAGCAGGTTTGGACCATGGCTCCCAGCACCAATCTGTGCTCCACATTGGCCCATGACCATATGTTCACCAGACCTTAGGAAAAGTCCAAGAACAGGATGTTAGTAGGCCATTCTTGGGAAGGAAAATCTTTAATTCAGAAACTGTGTTTTTCCTACTTTTTTTTGTAGGGTGGTTAAAATATAATTTCTTATAAAAATGATGATGACATGAAGCTATTATTTGTTTCCTTCATGTTGTTAGGATGAACTAAACTGGGGTACATTGTATGTGTATGTGAAAATGTCACAATGAACCCCCCTGTACAACTATTGTATACTAATAAAAACTTTAAAGAAACAAAATGAGACTGTATAATGATTAGAACATATGTAATATCTTAATTTTATTAAAAATTTGTATTAGTTTATGTTAATTGTGCAAGTAAGGGATTTCATCTGACATTTCTATATATACATATAACGTACTTTGATCATATTCACCCCCTCTATTACTCTTTCTTATCTTCCCTCCCTCTTTTCCCCTTCCATATCCCTAATAGTTCCTTTTACTTTCTGGTTGTCCCCCACCAATTCCACTTATGAAAGAAAACATGGGATACTTGTCTTTGTGATATTGGCTTATTTCACTTAACATGATCTCCACTTTCACTTCTTTTCCTGCAAATGACAAAAAATTTCATTATTCTTTAGTGCTGTTGACTCCAAAGATCTAATAATCTTCAAATTGTGCAGAGTTTAAGATTCTATTTTTAACTGACACAACCACTCTGGAAAAAAATTTGGAGGCTACTTAAAAAGCTAAACATTGATCTATCATTTGATCCAGCAATACCACTCGGGGATATACCCAAAAGACTGTGACACAGGTTACTCCAGAGGCACCTGCATACCCATGTTTATTGCAGCACTATTCACAATAGCCAAGTTATGGAAACAGCCAAGATGCCCCAGCACTGACGAATGGATTAAGAAAATGTGGTATCTATACACAATGGAATTTTATGCAGTCATGAAGAAGAATAAAATGTTATCATTCGCTGGTAAATGGATGGAATTGGAGAACATCATTCTGAGTGAGGTTAGCCTGGCCCAAAAGACCAAAAATCGTATGTTCTCCCTCATATGTGGACATTAGATCAAGGGCAAACACAACAAGGGGATTGGACTTTGAGCACATGATAAAAACGAGAGCACACAAGGGAGGTGTGAGGATAGGTAAGACACCTAAAAAATTAGCTAGCATTTGTTACCCTCAACACAGAGAAACTAAAGCAGATACCTTAAAAGCAACTGAGGCCAGTAGGAGAAGGGCACCAGGAACTAGAGAAAAGGTTAGATCAAAAAGAATTAACCTAGAAGGTAACACACATGCACAGGAAATTAATGTGAGTCAACTCCCTGTATAGCTATCCTTATCTCAACCAGCAAAAACCCTTGTTCCTTCCTATTATTGCTTATACTCTCTCTTCAACAAAATTAGAGATAAGGGCAAAATAGTTTCTGCTGGGCATCGAGGGGGTGGGGGGGAGAGGGAGGGGGTGGAGTGGGGGGTAGGGAGGGGGTGGGGGCAGGGGGGAGAAATGACCCAAGCATTGTATGCACATATGAATAATAAAACAATAAAAATTAAAAAAAGAGTGTACATATTTGTGGGATACAGTGTGATAATTTGATATATGTATACATGTGAAGTTCCTTTTTTCTAGCTATTTGAGGTATATAGTAAGTTTTAAAATACAATCACCCTACAATGAAATGGAGCATAAGAACTTATTCCTCCTATCTAACTGTATTTTGGTACCCATTCTTCAGCTTATGTCTGTTCCCTTCTCCCTTCCCTTCTCAGCATGTAGTAACCACTATTCTACTCTCTACTGCTATGAAATAAATTTTTTTATCTTCCACATGTGAGTGGGAACATTGAATATTTGCTGTTCTATATCTGGCTTATTTGACTTAACATAAAGTCCTTGAGGCTCATCCAAGTTGCCAAAAAAATAAAAAGGCAGGATTTCATTTTCCATGTTGGTTTTTGGGGTCATGTTCTTTTAAAAAGGATGTGGTTCTTTTCTTTTCTTTCTTTCAATTAGAGTTAAGATTCTAATTCTTTATTCATTGATACAGCCAACAGGAGTGTATTGAACCCTATGCTAA